GGAAAGATGTCTCCTATGTAAATCTCCATAGAATTATGCTAAAAAATGAGTAGCTTTCAAAATGTGTCATCTTGCAGTGCTAAATGAAATTAATCTTTCTCTTTAACATTGTGTAAATACAGGGTTGATTTTCCTTCTGAAATCTGTATGTTCTCTGAATGGCAATAAGGCCTTGAATTAAAACATTCCATACAAATCTGTGGAGAGAAACCTAGTGGGTTTTAGGAATTTGACTCAAGTTGTCATTGATGTGACTGATTTTGACCTTTCCTCAACTTCCTGCATTTAAATTGGAAACAAATATTTTGCTACCTTTTGAAAGAACAAATAGAGTTTATTTCCCACTGACTCTCATCAAAGAGAAATTTGACTTCCATGATTTAATGCAACTTTAAACAAAGAGAAAACTGCCAAAGCATGTTTTATTTACAAAAACAACTTGTTTCATTTAAGAGGGTATTTTAGAAAGCTGAAACCGACTGTGAGCCCAGATGAGAAACAGTAAATTGTCCTAAGGGAAACCGACACATTGCACACGTCCTGAAAAATGCAGACTAAAGTTTGCTGTGCTTCCATCATTGTCAGGCATCTTCTCACATGTTCACGTGACTCTAGCTACTGAACAAAGATTGCTCCTTGTGTGTGGCGGTGAGTGTTATCCCTGATGGCACTCCTGTGTTCCCTTAGGATGGATGCACAGTTGCCACTTAGGATCACCTCATGCTCTAAGACGGTATGGGATCAAAGTCAAGATTCAGCATTTTGGACAAAGATCTGATGGATTATCAAAGAGTTGGTAACCTAATCATCACTAAGCATCTGGATGGGAAAAGGATAGTGTAGATTTTTTTTTTAAATGCATGTTTTTAAAGATTAATGTCAAACTAACCAGTGCTAAAATATTCCACAGATTATTGCCTTAAATAGCTAATGGGTCTACGCTATTGTTTATGAGGATCCAGCCCAATGCATGAAAAAGACGGGAGATTTATTTGCCAAGTCAACTCGAAACAACTCAAAGCGGGCCTCACTCAGATGGCCATGGAGAAAGTTTAGTTTTGTATTTCTGCTAATTACGTTTTTCATACAGATCCAAACCTTTAGCTTGGAATCTTCTGCATATTATTTGTTTCTTTCATTTCTTTCTTTAGGTTGTCAATGCAATGAAAACGAATAATTAAATATAAATGGAAGCTCCTTTGTAAAGAGATGTGTTACAAATCAATTTCTTTTAAATATAGTCATCCTTTTCTTTCTGTTTTATAAGCCATAACATATAATAAAAGCCCCAAAATATAATTCCTGAGGGACAATATAGTCTCAGTTAGTGAAAAGTCTGAATTATTGCTTACTCATAAAAATTCTTAGCGGGCAGTGGGCTGAGCCTACGTTGGCCTACGCTAGACCCGAGCTGACCAGCAGAGGGAGGGCAGGTTCTACCGGGGATCAGGTTCTAGCCCATCTTCCATCACATTTGTTAACCGTGGACCGATTATTCCCTTTCCTGGTGCCATAGCCTACTCCCACTTCACCGGGTGTGCACCAAGAGCCATTTGAGATGACACAGCCCCTAAAAACCCAAGACCACATTTGTATTCTTTGACAAGACACCAGCTTCTAAGGATCTGACTTGCCTGCCGTGCATGGTAGATAGTATTGGATCCAACGACTTCTCTTTTCCTGGAAAAGTAAATAAAAATGTGCCAGAGGGTACCACCTTCACTGCAGTGAAAAGAGTAAATATGAATCAAGAAAGCAGTAGTTTTTTTCTAGAGGAAAACGCGTGCGTCACTCTGCACAGAAAGTCCATTTCCAGTTCCCTGGCACTCCAAGTCGGCCGACAGCTGGGTCGGGAGCCCACTGGGCTCACTGTGCCAGCCCGGATAGACAGCGCGAGTCATGCTCCCCACCCGTGTGGTTTGCATTTTATGGTGCCCCGTGTGAACCTGTTTTAAATGCTGATCGAGGGGTCCTCCCACAAACCGCACCGAAATGTGATCCAAACAGCGAGAACTTGTTCTGATGACCCAGCTGTGGGACGGTGGAGCGATGGCATTTGTGATTTACTGTAACGTTTTATTTCCTGGCACTCACGTTAGTGACGAGGCGATCTTTGTTTGTGTGCATTAGGAGGACAATCCTTCCCCATGGGTGTTGAAGGGTGTGTTTATTTTTGTGTAATAACTTCAGCGCCGTGAGCCCAGCCAGGCTCACTAGGTAGTGCGGCGCTGTTCAGAGCACACGGCACGCGGAATTCTTCGTTTTTGTTTTAATCATGAAATAAAGACAGAACATAGTTGTTTTCTCTACTAAGTTTTCAAAGCACATGGACAAAGTTGACATTCACGGGACAGAAGAGCAGAACATTATGAGAACAGCTTATAGTGCCAGAAAGAGCTGGTTCAAATCCTGGCTCTCTCACTTACTAGATGTGTTTTATAACAGACCAGATCCTGAACTTTGCTAAGCCTCAGTCCTCCTCCATAAAATGGAGATAATAAGAATATATGGGATATAGAATTTGTCTTGAGAAACAAATGCAGGTAAAACAATTAAAATACCTGGCATGTTTTATGCCGCCATAAATGTTAGTTATTCTAACAATGATTATTATTTTTATTCATAAGTGATGGTATAGGATGCATATTCTTTAAGTCAGCATTGATTTTTTTTAAAAGTTCTTATTTGCACATTAAATAGTTTCATTTAACCTTTTCATCTACAGATCTTACAAAGCTGATCCCTCAAATTTTCTTTTAAGTGAAATAGACATAGTAGATCCAGGTTAGTTCCAAGATTTTGAATAAACAAAAATAGGATGCCCTGATAAATTTGAATTTCAGATAAACAAGAAATAATGTTTCAGTATGAGTATGTCCCAAATATTTCAGGGATATGCTTATACTAAAAACGTATTCCTTGTTTATTCTAAATTCATATTGAACTGGACGCCTTGTGTTTTATCTGACAACTCAATTTCATATTGTCATGAAGAACTAACCATGGGTAGTTTGTGGAAAGAAGAGTTCATCTCTAGGGGATGTTAGCAAAAACAAAATTCACTTGCTATAAATGATTAAAAGCTCTTAATTGCCAAAAAAAATGTTAATTAAAATGAAGTCTTTCTGGTGCCCACGATAGGTGATTCTCAACTCCTGTTTTCTCACCAAGTAAAGCTAGAGTAAATAATCTTAACATTGAGTTAAGTAATCTTAAACTTCTCTTTTGAGTCAGGGAAAGAATAAAATGTAAAGAAAAAATGTAAAGAGATTTATGAAAGAATGAATTTATAAAAGAATGAATACAAAATAAAAAGGATCCTTAGCAGAGTAAATCTTTTCACTTAAAACAGAAAATTAAAAAAAGCCCAATTTTGAATGTGTCTCTTTGAAGAACCTTCATATCATTCTTGATGTAGTATTAGAGTAAGAGAGTGGAAACACAGATCCTTTCTACTCATTTCCACAGGTATTCATTTCCTTCCACGCTGCGCTTTTGAATGTCTTCACATCAAGAAACGTATTGCAATTAGCTAGGGCCAATTGCCACTCACTTATCTACATCGAATATGGTTCTATGAGACTATTTCATAACAAATCTCCGGAATAAATTTAAAATTAAGATCAGCCCTCACTAGTTGTAAGAAAGAATAAACTCCATAATCAATGTTTTAGAGAAAAAAAAGCAAAAATTGATATGAAAACTTCACTGTAAATTTGAGCGGAAGCTTAACACAATTAAAATTAACGTGGTGGAGGTATTCAGCTACTCACACAGTTTTACCACTGCCAGGAAATATTAAAATGTATTAACTCTTTTCTGCAAATATTTATTTGTCACTATGTACAAAATTAATGCTTTAGGAACTGAAGTTTTAAGATTGCTAAATGCAAATTTTATTCACAATGAATTGTGATACCAGGAATAAAACAAACCTTAAAAGAAATATGTCTCTTTTTGCCCAGGAAACATACAATGGAAATGGATCAGACTTTTTTAAGTTGGAATATTTTGCTTAATTTTTCTGACTTGGTCTTGGAATTAATAATGGTGATACCAAACTTAAGCAAACAAATCTTTTATATCTTGTGACACCCCCCCCCCGTGAATGTACTCCTTAACCATAAACATGGGTCTATAATTCATATAGTATTTTTTAAGTTAAAATCATAGACATAAAATTCCATGCTCTAGTGAGATGGATCTTACCTTCTGGTAGATACATGTTCTCACGGAGGCTCATTACTTTAGCTCTCTCATTACGACACCTCCCCATTTGTAGAAGAAAAAAAAAGAATGTTTCCAGCTTGCTTCTTAAACTAATAGAAATTACCATGGCTCTATTTACCATATTACCATGGCTCTATTCTGTGTCTTTGGAAGAATACTCTCAAAGTGGAAAAATACGCTTTTAAAACAGACGACATCGTCTTTGAAAGAAGTTACTAGCAGCTGAAATATCTGAAGACAAACTTCACTTGTAGATTATCTAGAACTTCTGTTGCTTGTAATTTGAAGCAAATCACAGATAAAATAGGCACATCCTACTACTGGTCCACTGAACACGAGAACTGCAAAGATTAAGGACAGTGACTAGTAAATGGCAACTGATCACGTTTCAGTAGAAGAAACCAAGGCACAAAAATTTGAATGGCTGCGGAGAGAAGTGAAGTGAGCTTCATTTCCTTCTGGTGACCGTGATTGGTGATTCTCAACTCCTGTTTTCTCATCAACCAAAGCTAGAGTAAGTAATCTTGACACAAATTAGAAACTGTTGCTTCATGGTAAAATTTACCTCTTTTTATCTGTTAAAGAATGGCAAGGAACTATGTAGTAGTGTAGAGATTAATTGCTAATATTATGTGTTATAACAATAAAAGAATTAGGAGTAGGGACACAAAATAAACGTGAGTTGAATGGACAGCAACTGACGCTGTGTAGTTAAGACATTTAAAATCTGTCAGGAGAGTGAAGACAGAAAAATCAAACCAAACTAAACGTAGTGCGTGACCAATGTAATAAGCTGATACGGAATTTACCAAAAGGAGTTGTTTCTATTACTGCTTGGAAAATACCACTATTCTTGAGTTTTATTCTAGATCCTAAACAATATTAGACTATGGGCCTTTAAAAATAACTGGGACCTGTGAAAGTGTGTTATTAGTTGCATTAAACCTATATTTTAATAGGTACATACATACATATTTCATATATGAACATGTAACACACTATATTATAAACAAGCAAAGATAATTGAATTTTATTGTGATTATTGGTATCAATTTCCAGGAAAAGCCGTCTAAGCAATCAAAGAAATTCAAAGTAAATGCTCTGCAATGAAAGTTAATGATGGACTTTAACATGGAAAAAATATGCATATTTCTCTCTCATATCAATGTTGAAGTCCATACAAATAGCTATATTGGTTTTATGTGTAAATATTTAACACAAATACATCTGTATGCTTCTATTTTTATATAGTGGATTTTAATCTATATTGCCATTGTTTATTTTAAATATGTTTATTTAAGTTCAACTGTAACACACATAAGTTTTGGTCAAAAGTATCAAGCAATGAGTTTCAAAGAATAATCCATACTGCAAAATACAGAGAATAATCCACATTGCAAAATTGTAAACCACAAAGACTCCATGAAGTTTCACGTGAAATCTTTAAATTAGATTAAATACACTTAAAAAGATAATTGGACTAAATGCTGATATTTGGAGTGTAAGATTTCCAAATGTCAATTTAGTTAACTTTCTTGCAGTAGGTATGCACAAATGCACACCACTTTTACATACTCTCTCTAGAAGTAAAATAGTGAACTACAAGCAAGATATATATGAATAGAACAAGGAGGCCATCTTGAGGTCATTCTAGAAATGTACATGTTTCCATTCTCGCAAAAAGCTCAATACACAGTTTGATCTAAAAAATAGCTGCTTATAGCTAAATTAACACTCCCCATAGAAAATGTGTTTTTTTCTTTACAAACACAAAAAGGCAAAGTTTAGCAAGAGGATTTAGATTCACGTAAAAGTAGTCTCTTTCTCTCTCACACGCACACACACACACACACACACACACACAAAGACTACAAAGTTGTTTTTGCCAAATGATAGATAAAATTTTAAAATTTAGCACAGGACTGTACAAACCGTTTCGACAGAACTATCTTAAATATGTTCCCACAGTAATAAAACAGAGACTTCCTACAAATTTCGTGAATATTCCAATGTATATGTATTTTCCCCTTCCTGCTTCTAGAAAAATAGAAATAACAGAAAACGTAAGGTGTTGAGATGCCCCACATTTATGTGTCGTCCTGCGCACTCTGAGCTAAGGCTGGACTCGCGGGGCCGTTGGCGGAATGTTCCGGCCCCTCAGGGCCGCCTGTGGGTGCGGAGCCTTCGGCCTCCTGGTTTCCTCCGTGGGCCTTCTCCGGGGCGCCGGGCGGACTCACGCAGTTGGCCTCCTGCTGCACCTTGTCCACCTCGTTGTCAAACTCGATTTTATCCTCTCGCCTGTTGTCTCTCTTCACTTGTCCATTCTGGGCGGGGTAGGTGCTGGCGATGGCGTCGTACAGGAACTGGTATTGCTCCTACGAAAGGAAGGCAGCGAGACATCACATGAATAAATAAAGTCGACGAAACTATTATTATTATTTTTTTTCCGCCAGATAAAAACGAGCAAGAATTAATCGTCTATCTGAGGAAGTCCAGGGTGGCGGAGAAGCGCTCTGCAGTGCTCTCGTAAGCGACATTCTGAGCGGTTTCCTTCCTTTCCAGTTCTAAAGGGCTGACAGTAGAGGACGTTCCAAACTTGACTTCCAGATTTTTCAAACGCCCCAAACTGCTGGTCATTCAGTCCCCCGGCAGGCCCTTCCCACGCCTTTTCCCGGGGTGCCAGTTTCTGTGTGTGTTCCCTTGGCCGATGCCCGCTCAGGGTTTGATAACCAGAGCAGAAATCACCGGCTTTAAGAAGCCTGCCCTGACCTCCGTAGGCTGAATTCAATGCCCTCGTTTATGTTCTCCTGACAATTTCCATGTCACAGGACAGACTGATGACAAAAACAGAGCACTTACGATGCTCCCCGTACCCACTTTTCTTCGCAAGGTGGCCCTGCAGCTCCTCCCTTCCACATGGAGTTGGAGACCATTTCTCCACTTTCCGAATCTGGACTGGCTTTGGGACTCACTAGGCTAATAAGAAACGACGGTGATCTGGCACCTCTTGTATTTTCCTGGATAGAGCTGGAGCCCAGTCTACCAAGTGAGGTATCCCAAGCATGGAAAAACGATCCCCACATGCACTCACCGGCGAACTGGTATTAACTGATCAACACCTCAGTGCACGTATAGGAATCACATCTATCGGGCGTCGGGCAGGTGGGAGGGGGAGGGGATGGGTATAAACACACATAATGGGTGCAGTGTGCACCGTCTGGGGGATGGACACGCTTGAAGCTCTGACCCGGGGGTTTGGGGGGGAGGCAACACACATAACCTAAACATTTGAACCCCCATAATATGCTGAAATAAAAAAAATACAGCGGAAAAAAGGCATTTTGTGTCCTGCAAGCTGGGCCTCAAGCACATCTCACAGAAGTCTGTTCTCTCTCTCTTGAAACCGCCACTTCCACGTGCATAAGCCCCGGTTCGTGTCCTGGGTGAGACAAGACCCACTCACCCCTGTGGCCATGGCGGCGTGGTGGCCGAGTGGCAGCCGCGTGGCAGATCACGGCAGCCTAGGTCATTTCAGACCCGCCAGCGCCCAGCGGACGCTGTCAGCTGGTGGCAGACTCGAGAGCCGGCCCGGGCTCCCCTGGCCGAGCCTGCCGAGATGGGTAGAACAACACAGCAGATCAGGGGACTGTTGAACTGTAACTAATGTATGTGTTTAGGCCACTAGACCCAGGGCTGACTTGTTACACAGCACAACTGACTGATACAGAATTAAAGGAAGAGAAATTAAGAAACTTGTGAGCATTTAAAGGAAATAACGCTTCATGAACCGTCACCACAGATGGCTGGCAAACCCTAAATTAAGTCTCTTATTTATATCGGTAATAATTCAATGGGAATTGTCGTGTGAAAACAGAAGAGAGAAAAGAAAATAGAAGAGAAAGAAAGGAAGGTTAAGGGGGGGAAAGATCAAAGGAAAGGAAAGGAGAGGAGAGGAGAAGAAAGAACGCCGTTAGAGTGAAAATCCAGAGCAGGCCAGAAGCCGTGGTGAGGTGTACGTACAAACGTGGAGACCATTCCCGGCCTTGCTTTGCGTAGAGATTTTACTACTTGAAAAACATCCACCACCTCTTCTGTCTCTGCGCTTTCCAAGAGATTTAGCAAAGCACAGAATATTCCTGTTTGCTGAGATCCATCTCTATAAAAGGAAGAAAAGATAAAAAAAGAAAATAATTCTGGGTGTTTTTTTTTTGCTAAAAATGGTGATATTACAATAAAAACAGAGAGGAATATATTTTTACTTCATGTTTATTACAATTATTTTATTCCAATCTTTCTTAGGAGCCAGATTATTTATGCTAAGTGCATATTTTAGGCAAACGTTTTCAATTTTAGACTAATCCTGTAGTTTAAAAAGTATCTGTCATAGGCTTTATAAATATACTTCTATTTAGTATTTTATGCATTTTGATGCATTTTTATTTACAGCTGAAGTTGTTAGAGCAGGTATCATAACGCCCATTTGATAGATGAGGAAACCAAGATTTAGGGAAAATAAAGGCATAGATAAAAACTGATGGACCCAGAAATATTAGACCTTATACTTTGTAAATTCCTAGACCACAGGTGCCTTCTCCTTCACTTTTTTGCCTTTTACCATGTTTTACAAAGGTTTCCACTTCTACCTTAGTAGAAAAGTGGTACCTGGTGGAATTATTCATTGAAAAGAGGCCAAACAAATAACTTACTGAACTATGAGAGCCGTAAAACATCATAACAAATATTCAATTTAAACAACATGTTATCAGCAGGATGCGTTATAGGAACTCAACAACATCCTAAGGAACACATATAGTTTTAAAGCTTAAACTTCCCTTCTTCAGCTTTCTTTCCACATAAATTTCACCTCTGAAATTTCAAATAAATGCTGCAAAGTGGTATATCTCTAAGGGCTTGGTTCTAGTACATGCAACTCCAATGTTAATAATGAGGAATTTTCAAAAATTCTAAAAGCATTTCACTAGATTTAAATTTCTCATTTTATTTTACTACTTGTCATTTCTCATTTACTTCAATAGACCTTTTACATTATGCACCCTTCTTTCAATATCACTTAATTTAGGGTGTAGCTATAGACCTGCAGTTTAAGGTCTGCATAACAGACGCTAATAAAATCAAGAATTACTTATATCATTACAATCTTTGCCTTCTGTATCAGTTTAGAGGATCCAATGATGGGTTTCACATTGAAGTTGCTAAGCATTGAGATTTCCCCTAACATTTAACTTATGTTTACTGAAGGCAAAATGTTCAGTCCTCTTAACCCTGTGATACCCAATAGAGTGGATCAACACGTATTATAAGTTTATATTTAATGTAATATCCATCCACCTATCCACTCACACAACCTTCCACCCATTAATTCTTTCTATCATGTTTCTATGATAATCGTGCCATGGAAACATAACTGAGTGACTGATTCCATACAAGGTTTGTCCTGTGGCTACGTGTTTTGCATATCAGAATAAATATTATTGAAGAGAAAATGTGGTCCAAGAAGTTGAGCACTGTGATGACTTTTAGAGCACATGCTAACCAATCCCACCCACCTGCAGTGAATGAGGAGCGGTGCGCTCTTGTGATACTTGCTCCCTTCAGAGGAATTCTTCTTGGGAAGCTTTTGCTTGAGGGTCTGAATCATAGAGATTAATTCTTTGGGTTCCGTAGGAAGCTGTTCCATGTTCCACTTAGTATATTGGTACTGGTGCACAGTGCGCGGATCTTTTCTCTAAAATCAGAAAGAAGGGAAGGGAGTATTACCCTGTTTCCCCAAAAATAAGACAGGGTCTTGTATGTATTTTTCCTCAAGAAGACACCTTAGGGCTTATTTTCAGGGGACGTGTTATTTTCCCCTCAAAGCCTCAGCTTGCAGCACGCACAGGATGGCCGGGACCTGACAGGGGGAGCCGGCCTTGTTGGTGGGGCTGCCCGCACCTTTCTGGTCACCTCTGGGATAGCAGCTGTCACCATGGGGCAGATGGGAAGGGCTGGTCGTCTTCTTTCCCACTCCACGACGAAATGCACGGGTTGTGCAAATGCGCTGCGCAGCCACGCCCGTCACTAGGGCTTATTTTCGGGGTAGGACTTCTATTGCGTGAATGCTTAGAAATCCTGCTAGGATTTTTTTTTTAATTTTATGGGTAGGTCTTATTTTCAGGGAAACAGTGAAGTTCAGCCTGTTTTATACTTCGTCATGTTTTCATCACAATTACTTTCATTTAAATAACTTAAAAGTTTTACCCACAAGCATCATGTAGATGGCGGCTTTGCTCACATCACGTAATTTACATTAGCTTTGCTATCAGGTCAATCACATCAACGCTACACACTCCCGAAGTTGTTTTTTGTACCTTGGAATGTCTCAGTTCAAAGACACGGACGGTATAAGCTGAAGATTTGTTTGTGTCTTTAAGGTCGACTTCTATATCTCCATATGTTTGCTTTCCTTCGCCCCAGTACTGAGCACAGAGTTCCTAGGTAAAAAAGAAGAAGGTTCAACAACTTCCGCACAAATGTTCCATCTGCTATTTACAGTATCCAGACAATCTCTATCTCTCTCTTTCTCTCTCTTCCCCCCCCCACAGACTTCCTTCTTTTCTATTAAGTGGAAATTGTTGTGTTCTAAAATTGAGATATGTCCATAAAATCCCAAACCAAAGCGTCATTTAACAAATATATATGATTTCCTTGTGCAAACAAAGGGAACCCAAGATGGCAAGGTGGCTGGGAGACCACGGACAGCCCTGTCTTCCCTAGTGCAGGTCTTTGAGATTTACTCCTCCTTTCCAAACCCTTATCGTCACCTCTTCAAAATCTACAGCCGACGTGAACTGGTGTCGGGTCACGAGCCCTCCAGTGATAACCCAGGTCCCACCGTCCCTCCGCTGTGCCTTGAGGAATGAGGCTGCATCTCCTGGGGTTTGCTTCCGCATGCCGCCAACCCGCCATGAGCAGCTCTACGTATGTTAACTGCATATCTAAGCAAGGGGCCGGTCTGAGGAGTACGCGAATCACAAAAGGGTTTCTTCTCTCTGCAAACTGTTGTCCGCCAACCACGACCCCACGATTGCTGGCACTGATAGGCATTCCTGCCTGCACTTCCCTTCTATTTCCTGGCTCTCATGACGTATATGAAGGAAAAGATGACTGGAATGCATCTATATGTTCCAAATTCTGAACATATATTCATTTTTTAAGGAAGAGAAAAACACATAAAAATAAAACAGCAACTTTCTATGTGCAGAGGAGGTGGATCAGGAGAGAGAGGGAGAGAGAGAGGGGCATAATAAATCATAAATCTATTGCATGCTTATGAGGTTTAACATCTGTCAGAAAATATAGTAGGTGCTAAAACCAAGTAAGATCTACCCACCAGGGAAATTTTAATAATAACTCAAGGTACTAAGGAAAGAATCAAGTAAGTGTTACAGTCATTAAGTAAAAGATCAAATTGTATCTTAGGTTCTCCTCCAACTATAGAATTTTACGGTAATAAATATTCCATTGGAATAAAGAAGGGAGGACACAGATACATTTTTCAGGAGTTTTGTCTTGTTAAAAAAAAAAGGGGGGTGGAAATGGAGAGAGGGCGCGTTTTGTTATACGGAAGAATATCAGCAAAATTATGATTCGGTGAGAAGAATGTAAAAGATATATTAAGACTTGGCCAGGAAACCTGCTTGTCCAGAACGCAGAGTATGGACGGCATAAAAATGGGGGGGGGGCATGAAAAGACACACGCGGGGCTGACTGCTGGGGGTCCCCACTATCACACAAGTGTGCTTTTACTCTTGGAGAAGACGGTGCGACAACGTGGCTGCTGTTCGTTTGCGGTGACGCCCGCACTGCTGCGGCCCAGACAGCCGTGAGCAGCCTGCAAGACTGGATGGGGACGGATTGGGTAGATTTACTTGGTTTAGCACCTACTGGTATTTCTGACAGATGTTAAACCTCAAAGCATGCAATAGTTTTATGATTTCTTATGCATCTTCCTCTCCTCTCTCCTGATCCACCTCCTCTGCACATAGAAAGTTGCTGTTTTATTTTATGTGTTTTTCTCTTCCTTAAAAACATGAATATATGTTTCAGAATTTGGAACACTATAGATGCATTCCAGTATCTTTTCCTTCATATAGGTCATGAGAGCCGGAAATAGAAGGGAAGTGCAGGCAGGAATGCTATCAGTGCCAGCAATCGGGTCGTAGTGTGGTGGCACAACAGTTTGCAGAGAAGAAAGAAACCCTTTTGTGATTCGCGTACTCCTCAGACCGGCCCCTTGCTTAGATATGTCAGTTAACATACGTAGAGCTCTCATGGCGGTGGGCGGCATGCGGAGACAAAACCCACGAGATGAGCCTCATTCCTCAAGGCACAGGGAGGGACGGTGGGACCTGGTTATCACTGGAGGGCTTGGACCACGACACCAGTTCACGTCGGCTTAGTTTTGAAGAGGTGACGATAAGGTTTGGAAAGGAGGAGTAAATCTCAAAGACCTGCACTAGGAAGCACGGGCTGTCGTGGTCTCCCAGCCACCTTGCCATCTGAGTTCCTTTGTTTGCACAAGGAAATCG